GTGTGAGCACCCAGGGGACACATGTGGGCACCCCCAGGACACACACGTGAGCACACACATGGACACAGGGCTCGTGGCCTGATGGGTGCACGGGAGTCTGGGCATGGCCAATGCACACACACACGTGCCCTGGCACACGAGCCCCGTTGCACACGCGTGTGCCTCCGCCCCGGCAGGGAAGGTGGTGTACGCGGAGACGACCACGGCGCACGCCACGCTCACCGGGCTGCACTACTACCACCAGGACTGGTTCCACGCCGCCGCCTACGTCACCGTGCCGCCGCTGCGCCTCGACACCAACACCTCCGCCTACCTCATGAGCCTGCTCGCCAAGTGAGGCCACGCCCAGACACGCCTTTTCTGCCTCCCTCCCTGCCAGCCACGCTTCGTGGTGGCTTTCTGGTGTCTGGCACACCCCCGGTGTCCTGCTGCCGGGTGCCATCACCCCATCACCCTGCTCCCTTGGGGCCGTGCCCTCCAGGCACCCCGTCCTTTGGCACCCCCTGTCCTGGGTGCTGAGCTCCCTGTGCCTCACTTCCCGGCCCTGTGTGCCCCTGGGGATGTGCTCTGTGGGTGCTGCGCTTCCCGAGCGCTCGCTGAGCTCCCGGGGTGTGGGTGCCCCTCCTGGGCCCCACCCTGGGCACACTCCTCCCCAGGCACTGAGGTTCCTGGGCACCTCACTTCACCAGTATCCCACTCCCCGGGGACCCCACTCCCTGGACACCCTGCTCTCCAGGCACCCCACAGTGGGAGCGCCCCATTTCCTGGGCACTGAGCTCCCTGGGGACCCCATTGGCACAGGTGTCCCATTCCTTTGGGGATCCTAGTGCACAGGTGCCCCATTCCCTGGGCACCCTCCTCCCCGGGCACTCCCTGCGTGGGTACCCCATTCCCTGGGCACCCTGCCCCCCCAGGTGCCCGGGTCTCCAGGCACCCCGTGGTGTAGGTGCCCCATTCCCTGGGTTCTGGGCTCCCTGGGCCCCATTCCCCGGGTTCTGGACTCTCCACGGGCACCCCAAGCAGCCCCAGGGGTGCCGTCCCCCCACCCTGCCCTGTCCCCCCCCTTGCAGCGACACCCTGAACATCGTGGCCTCGGACCACCGGCCCTTCAGCACCAAGCAGAAGGCCATGGGCAAGGAGGACTTCACCAAGATCCCCCACGGCGTCAGCGGGGTGCAGGACCGCATGAACATCATCTGGGAGCGCGGCGTGGTACGGCACTGCCAGCCCCTGGCACGGGGCCGGCCCCGGGGGGCTCTGCCGGGGTGGGACGGCCCGTGGGGTGTTTGCTGGGGGGGTGAGGCGCTCCCCAGTGCCACCCCAGTGGGTCCTGGCGGGGGTCCCGGCCCCGGCAGCACCTCTGGGGAGCCGTGGGGGCTCGTGGGGACGGGATGGGACACGGCCTGGCACGTCCTCACCCCCGCTCCCGTTGTCAGGTGGGGGGTAAGATGGACGAGAACCGCTTCGTGGCCGTGACCAGCTCCAACGCCGCCAAGATCCACAACCTGTACCCCCGCAAGGGCCGGATCATCCCCGGGGCCGACGCCGACGTCGTGGTCTGGGACCCCGAGGCCACCAAGTAGGTGCAGCCCCACGGCAAGGGGGGGGGCTGGGGAGGGGCTCCCCGTGCCGCCAGCGCCCGCTCACCGCGCCGTGCCCCCCGCCCAGGACCATCTCGGCCAGCACCCAGGTGCAGGGCGGGGACATCAACCTGTACGAGAACATGCGGTGCCACGGGGTGCCCCTGGTCACCATCAGCCGCGGGCGCGTGGTCTACGAGAACGGGGTCTTCATGTGCGCCGAGGGCACCGGCAAGTTCTGCCCGCTCCGATCCTTCCCCGACGTCGCCTACAAGAAGCTGGTGCAGCGGGAGAAGGTACGAGGGAGAAGGAACCAGGGCAGAGCGGTGCCAGGGCGGTGTCAGAGCAGTGCCACGGCGTGGGGCAGGGCTGCACCGTGCGGGGTGCTGGATGGGACAAGGGGCCGGCGGCCACGGTGGTGCCAGCAGGGTGGGAGAAGGGTCTGTGCCACCGCGGTGCCACGCTGTGCCACGGCCAGTGCCACGCTGGGGGATGTGATGGGAGCACAGCATGCCTGGCTCGGGGCACGGGGGACTGGGTGTGCGATGGAGGACCCTCCCCTGGGTCCTTGCTGGCGTGCTGGCAGCGCGAGGGGACAGTTGTCCCAACACGTGTGTGACCCATGCCTGGCTCTCTGCCCTTTGCTGGGTGCCCCCAGGGCAGCCCCGTGGCTCACGGTGGCACCAGGGGCACCAAACACCCGGGAGCTCTGGCAGCCCCCAGCACCAGGGCCCAGCCTGTGCCCCCGAGCCGTGGCTGTAGGGGATGTGCTGGGGGACTGGGGCGGTGCTGGGGCTGCCAGGGGGGACCTGGCACTGTCACAGGGAGCTGGTGGCCAGCACCGGAGTGCCTGTGGCTGTGGGGAGGGCACAGGGTGTTGCATGGGCTTGGCTTGACGTGGCTTGGCTTGGCGTGGCTTGGCTTGGCTTGGCTTGGCTTGGCATTGCTGGGGGGACAGGGCGAGGGGCTGCTCTGCCAGGGTCACCCACCTCCCTGCTCTGCACCAGGAGCCCCTCAGCCCGCCCAGCACCCCGCCGAGTGCCCCCTCCCCAGCCTCAGCCCCCTCCCCACACCACAGCCCCCCCCCTCCCCAGCCCCAGCATGGCCCCAGCCCCTTTCCCTCTCCCCGTCCGGCCGATCCGCACCCCGCTGTAGGCCCCTGGCCCCCCCCGCCCCCCCCCCCCATCCCGGTGGGCGCTGACGCTCTCTCCGCTCTCTCTCTCTCTCTCTCTGGCTCCCGGCAGACTTTGAAGCTGCGGGGTGTGGATCGCACCCCGTACCTGGGGGACGTGGCCGTGGTTGTGCATGCTGGGAAAAAAGAGACGGGGACGCCCCTGGCCGATACGCCCACCCGGCCGGCCACGCGACACGGGGGCATGAGGGACCTCCACGAGTCCAGCTTCAGCCTCTCCGGTAAGAGCAGGGCCCCCCCTCCCGGGCTCACCGGCAGCCCCACGTCCGGCAGTGTCCGGCACTGGCCACCCCCGAGTGTCCCCATCGCCCCCCCCACGGTGTCCCCGCTGTCACCCCAGGGTGTCCCGCCATCCTTCTCCCAGGCTATCCTGTCATCCCCCTCCCCAGGGTGCCCCCAGTGCCACCCCAGGGTGTCCCCATCGCTCCCATCACCCCCCTTCTCCCGGGCAGGGAGCCGTGGCAGAGCAGAGTTGCCTCCCCTTCTTCCCTGGACCTGCAGCCCCTCAGCCCTCGCCCCTCCCTCCCTCTGTGTGCTGTCCGTGGTGTGGCTGCACTGGCCGGGGGGCTGGGGTGGTCAGGGGACAGTGGCTGGGGGGGTCTGTGCAAGTTTGGGGGGGGTCTGTGCCAGGCAGGATGGAGCTGCGTGCTGTGCTCGGGCAGCCCCGGCTCCCCACTGCATCCAGCACAGCCGGGGTGGGAGAAGGGGGCACGGAGCATCCCCTGTCCCTGCAGTTCTGGGGGACACAGAGCATCCCCTGTCCCCGCAGTGCTGAGAGGACACGGAGCATCCCCTGTCCCTGCAGTTCTGGGGGGGACACCGAGCCCCTGCTGTCCCCATTGCTGGTGGTGCTGGGGTGAGGGGTTCTGCAGGGCCGTGCCCCCGCTGCCCTCCAACCCTGACACCCACTGTCTGTCCGTCCGTGTGCCCGGCAGGTTCTCAGATCGATGACCACGTTCCAAAACGAGCCTCGGCCCGGATTCTCGCTCCCCCCGGGGGCCGGTCGAGCGGCATCTGGTAGAGCCGGGGACCTGTCCCCCAACTGAGGACCGGGCGCCGCCCCCAGCGCCCCCCGGACCCGGCCCGGGCGGGGCTCCCCCTCGCCGCGGGGGCTCTGCCTGGCCCCCGGTGCTGCCGGCGGGGCCGTGCCGGCGGCGGGGCCGTGCGCGGGGGGCCGCGGAGGGCCGGGGGTGGCGGGTGCCCCTCCCCGGCCCTTTTCTGTTTGCACGTTGGGTTTGGATCAGTGAATTTTTGACTTGTTTGTGCATCACGTGGAAATACTCTGAAGTGGTTTGTGTCACTAGCGTAGGGGAGACGCAGGGACCCCCCCCCCCCCCCTCCCCCTGGCCTGACCCCGTCCCTGACCCCCGTCACCATCCCTGACCCCCGTCACCATCCCTGAACCCTGTTCCTGCCCCTCCTCCATCACCAAGTCCCTATTCCTAACCCCCATCACTGCCCTAAACCCCAATCCCCATCACTGTCCTCCCGTCTCCACCTCCATCCCTGCACCACCATCCATCCCTGACCCCCCCCCACACCCCCCCCCCCCCCCATTCCCACCCCTTTCCCCCGTGCCTGACCCTCACCTGCGCTCCTGCAGCCCCATTCCTGCTCCCTCTCGCCCTCCCCTCTCTCCCTGTCTCCCCTTCCCCATCCCTGCACCTCCTCCCCCTCCCCACACCCCCTGTTCCTGCCCCTCTCCATCCCCCCCAGCCCGGCAGTGAGCGGTGTCACACCTGGCACAGGTGTGCACACGCGTGTCACACGTGTGTCACCCCTGCCCGTGCCCGGCCAGGTGTCCCCAGCACACACCTGTGTCACCCCTCCCGCTCTCGGGCGTGTTTGCACACGCGTGTGCGCAGGTGAACCCCTGGGCACACCTGCACAGGTGAACCCCTGGGCACACCTGCACACGTGTCCCCCCCTCTCTGACACCCGTGTCGGGCTGTGCTGGGTCCCCTCATCACCCACCGGGCCCCTGGCGCTGCCCCCGGTGCCAATGGGGGTCCGGGTGCGTGTGGCCCCCCTTTCTCCCCCCGAGGGGTTCCCGTCCCCCCTGGTGCTATTGGGGGTGCCCCGGCCCCGCTCCCCGCCCCCCCCCCACCACCCTGTGCCCTCCCCCTGTAGGTCCCTGTAGGTGTTTGGGGGCCGGTGGGTGCCTGGCGGGGGGGTCCCGTGTCCCCCTGGGTGGTCCCACACGGCCAATTTAGGAACCTGCCGTCCGTTGTTTGCTCATTAAAGACCGTTCACAGCGCCCGGCCCGCGCCTGCTCGGGGGTCTGGGGGGGTTCTGGGGGGGGGGATCCGGGTGGGGGGCAGGATTAGGGACCCCATGGCCGTGGCACTGGGGACAGGTGGTGCCCGGGAAGGTGCTGGGAGCAGAAAGAGCCCTGATATAGGGACACGGAGGGGACACAGGGGGGGGCGTTTGTGGGGACGTGGGGACACAGGGGGGACACACGTGGGGACATGGGGACACAGGGGGGACACACATGAGGACAGAGGGGGACATGGGGTGACATGGAGACACGGGGGACACACCTAGGGACACGCATGGAGATGTGGGGACACGGGGGGGCATAGAATGTGTGGGGACGTGAGGACACAGCTGGGACGTGGTGACAGAGGGGGACACCATGGGGACACGGGGCTGGCCCTGCCACCCCACATGTACACCCTCTGCGGGGATGCACAAACACAGACGGGGGGATGCAGGGGTCTTGCGGTGTCGGGGGGGCTCTGGGGTCTCAGGTGTGTCACAAGGTGGGGGGAGCCCTCGGGCTACAGGAGGGGTCCCGCATGTCCCGGCAGAGTTTGAGGCTCTATAAGGTCCAGGGAGGGCTCAGGGGGGCTCCCAGAGAGGTCACAAGGCTGCACGAGGGGCTCTCGGAGGGTCCCTAGGGAAGTCCTGGAGTGGTCCCGGCGGTGCCCCGGGAGTGCTTGGGGGTCCCGAGGGGAGTTTTGGAGGAGCCCGAGGAGGCCCTGGGGAGGTTGCAGGGGGGTCCGGGAGGGTTCCGGGGGTGTCCGGTGTGTCCCGGTGTGTCCCGGTGGGTCCCGGTGTGTCCCGGTGTGTCCCGGTGTGTCCCGGGAGGTCCCGGCGGTGCAGGGGGCTCCGCCCGCCGCCAGGGGGCGCTGTGTGGGAAACAGGGCTGACGGGGGCGTGGCCAGGCCCGTTGCCATGGCGACAGGGAGGGGAGGGCACGGTGGTTTCCATGGCGGGGAGGGGGCGTGGCCACGCCAGTTGCCATGGTCGAAGAGGGCGTGGTCACGTCAGTTGCCATGGCAGCGTGGGCGGGGTCCAATGGCCGGCCCCGCCCATCGGGGGGGCGGCGCAGGCGCAGTGGGTCCGAGCGGTCCCGGCCCGGTCCCGGTCCCGGTCCCGGAGCGGCGGCAGCGAAACGGGGGGAGCGGAGCGGCGGCGGCCGCGGCCGAGCGGTGAGTGCGGCGGGACCGTCCTGGGGCCAGGGAGGGACCGGGCAGCGCCGTCGCCATCGCCCGCATCCCCGCACCGGCCGCCGGCGCTGGCCGGGGGGGCCTCGGGGCCTCCGGGAATGGAGCGGCGGGGCCGGGCCGGGGGGAGGGCCTGGGAGGCGGGGCCGGGGGGCCGTGGGGCCTCCGGGGATGAAGCGGCCGCGGGTGGTTTGGGGGGTCTGTCCGGTGCCGCCGGGGATGGAGCGGCGGCGGCCGCCGGGCCGGGAACGGGGCCGGGGCTGAGCGGCGGGGCCGGGCGGTCCCGCGGGGCCGGTGGCGGCGGGGCCGGGCCTGACTCAGCGGCGGCCGTTCCTGCGGCCCGGCTGCGGTTCCCGCGGGGCCGCGGGCACGGCACGATGCGGCCCCGGTACGGCGCGGTCCCGGTACGGCACCGGCAGGCCGGGAGCTGTAGTCCCGGCACCGCGCAGCACCGGCCCGGGCATCGCCGCCGGTCCCGGCCATCAGCGGGGCCTGGGCGTTACCCGGGGATCCCCGGTCTGGGGGGTCCTGCGTGGCCGGGGCCGCCGCCGGTCGGGCAGTGCCGGTGCCGCCGGTGCCGTCCCGCCGGTGCTGCTGTGGGTGACGCTCCCGGGATGCTGCCGTGGCGGTCCCGGGCGGCAGGCGGCTGTCACCGTGACCCACCGAGCGTGACGCGCTCCCGGTGCTCGGACTCATGGCGGCGGTGTCACCGGCACGGCCGCGGTGTCACCGGGGCGGGATTGTCCCCGGTTGTCACCGGTGCGGTTGCGGTGTCACCGGCGCGTGCGTGTCGGGATGGGGCCGGGCCCCTTCCCTGTGCTCCCCCCGCCGTCCCGGGGACAGCCAACCCCATCTCCCGCCCGGGCCTTCCCCGAGCGGGTCACCCCCGCCGCGGTCGGAGCGCACAGACCCGGCTCCCCCCGACGTGATGGGGGTCCCGGGGGTGCCGTGAGCCCTCACTGTCCGTCCCGTCACGCTGTGGGGACACGGTGGGGACAGCGCTGCCCGCCGGCGTGGTGGCACGGGCAGAGTGTCCCGGCCGGGAGCGGGAGCGTGTCCCCCGCCCGCCCCGGCTCTCCCGGCTCGGCTCATCCCGCGGCGCTCGGCATTAATATTTCAGGAGCGGGGGGGAGGGCTCCTCTCTGCACATGCTCCCGCCGCCGTACCGAGTTATTTAGGTTAGCGGGAGCCGAGCGGGGCGGGGGGGATTTGCTCGGCCGGGCACCCACCCCGCGTTCCGGGCGCCGGCACCGCGCAGGCATCGCCGTCGGGAGCCGACAGCTCCCGGTGCGTGAGCGGCCGGTTCGCCTCGTTGGGACGGGCGCTGCCGCCGGGAGAGACAGGGAAGGGTGCTGGGGATGGAGCCGGTGCGGGGCTGGGGATGGAGCCAGTGCGGGGCTGGGGATGGAGCCGGTGCGGGGCTGGGGGCTGCCCGCGCCCGGCAAACCCACCCGTGCCCACCGCAGCGCAGGCTGGGGAGCGGGGATGCTCCGCTTGGGGTGGGGGGAAGAGGCACTGGAGGGACCCCTGGGGGGGGACAGCGGCGAGTGGCCACCCCTGATGGCACCCGGGCCACCGTGCCCGCTGCCAGATCCCCGGCAGCCCCGCGGCGGCTCCGCACGGCGCTCAGCCCCCACCGGGCTGTCTGCCACCCCCCTCGCGTGTTTGTCACTTGAGAAGCCACCGGGACGGCTCCCAAAATAGAACCCGCCAGTCGCAGCAGCCCAGTTCGCCCCGGCACCGCGGGGCTGCCGGGCCGGGCACCGACGCGCCGCCCGGCTCTCGGTGCCCGCCGTCGGTGCCGCCCTCGGCCGCGGCGCTGGCACGGCCGCCCCGGCGCTGGCACACGCGTCCGGCCTCACTCTGCTCCCGTTTGTTTGGGCAGAGCGGCCCGGGGGCTGCGCCGTGGGACCGGGCCCGGACGACCTCTGCGTGCGCCCCGGCAGCGCCGCGGGACGGGCACGGACACAGCCCGGGGCCGTGATTAACAGCTCGGGGCCGGACAATTAAAAATGCAGCGGTAAGCGTCCCCCGCCTGGCCGGGCGCCCGGCAACAGTCCCTCTCCCCACGGCCTGCCGGGAATCGGGGCTCAGTTCTTATTTTCATTAGTTTTTTTGGCACCAGCCGGCGGCAAACCGGCCGGGCCGGAGGCTCCCGGCCCTGGGCGCGTCCATCGCCCGGCGTCGGGGCGGCAGCGGGTCGGAGGGTGCCGCAGGCCCTGGCTGCCCTGTCATTACACCGGGGCGTGCTCGGCGCTGCGCCGGGGGCTCGGAAGGTGTTTGGGAGGTTTGGGAGGGTGGGGACGGGCTGGGTGGCACCGCGCGCCCCGGCCGGCGCGTCCCCGCTCCGGGGTCAGGACACGCCGGTGCCTGGCGGGGTCGGGGTTCTCCCGAAGGGGTCGGGGTTCTCCCGAAGGGGTCAGGGTTCTGCCAGCGTGTCACGGTTCTCCCCGCGGGCCAAGGTTCTCCCCCGGGCTCTCACGTGTGCCGGCGTGTGCGGGAGTCGGGGTGCGGCTGGTGGCGACACTGTAGGGCTCGCCTGGCGCCGTGACACCCCAGTTCATCCCGCTGGGAAATCCGTCCCAGGGCCCCAGGGGGTCGCTGCCCCGTCCCAAAGGCGGGCAGGGGGCCTGAG